CAATCTGTTTTGTTTTTATCAGTAGTCATCAGACTAATACATGGAAAGACAATACATCTTTTCTTTCCTTTTCCTGTCATTTGCTTTTACAAATTTCATTTTAAAAAAATTGTAGTCACAATTGAAGAAGTCTGCATTCAAATAAGCTAGGAAGTGTTTCATTGATTACTGTAGAACAAGGCCTATGTGGACAAGTATTAGAAAGTAAAATGGAAGTTACATTTGTTTCCCAGTCTGCATTGCTTTTCTTTTTGAAGTGAGGAACAAAAAATGGAGGTTGTACGTCACCGTGGAAAGTGAGGAGACACAATGTGCACACTGAAAACATACATGCTTAGTCTAAAGCAAGCCTTGATATGGATATGATATGGCTATTACAACTTTTGAATGTTAATCACATGTAACAGCTTTCTCTTTTGTCTGATATTTTGGGCCCGAACTTGGTTTCAGCTCTGATCAGTGCTGCTCTGGTAGCCCACAGTGTGGTAGTATTCTGTAGTGCCCGTGGCTCATTAGAAAACCTCAATAAAAGATAAGCTTCCACTTCTTTCTCAATTTGTTCTTTCCAGAAGAGAAGGAAATAATGGGTAAGAGTCACTATTTAGGTCCTATTATATGTAATAAATCTTTAGAAAGATAGCAGCTTTTCTTAGAAATAACTAGGCAAAGATTCCAAATGCTGAGAAAAACCATTATATTCTTTAGGAGCTGAATTGCTATTTTGGAGCTATAGATAGTTAAAGCAATAGCAAGCTATTGGACATGAGTATTTCTTGCATTTTTCTTGCAATAGCCTAATAAAGAAAAAAGACAAGAAGAAACATGAAAGTAGAGCGGTTTCAAATATTTTTTTTCTTCCTCTGAATAGAGTATGGTGAAGAGATTGTGAGATGCACAAAACCATTGGGTTTTCAGCTGTTGCTGTTGGAGAGATGAAAGCACTTGGCCCAAGAGTCTGTTTATATGTTTGAACAGAGAAAGTGATTTTATTGCAAGAAGCTCTAAGTGAGACAGGCAGAGTCAGAGAATAAGAGAGCAAAAGATAATTATCTAAATTATGTTCAGGCTATTATAGAAGACGAATATAGTTAAAATGTAATTAAATATGACAGGCTCACAGGATGCAAGCATGGCTTTGGAATGCTAATCACCAATTACTGCATCTCCTTAGGGGAGTTGGGTAGAAGAAGAGAGTTAAAAGTCGGGTGGCTGAGGTGAGATGTAGAGTGTTAAATAAAACACTGTAGGACTGTAACAAGGCTAATTTCTTTTGGAAAATGGAGCTGTGGTATCGGGGGACATTTGCTAGCCAAATAACTTGTAGTGCTGCATTTCAGCTTGAGGACCCTGGTATAAATCTGAGTAGGCTGCTAGTCCTGAGTCTTCTCTTATAGATGTAAACCTCAGCTTGAGGTAGTGATTATTTCTGTTGTGAAAGTGATGACCAGAACTGCTGCAGATTGAGTCAACAAATCTAAAACAAATCAACCAGCAAGACATGTGTCAAAGCAGAAAAAAAATCGACACTGCCTGAATATGTAATAAAGCTAAACCCTGAAAAATGTGTTTGTTAGAGGATCACTAATAAGGACTACAGAGACACAAAAAGTCCAAAGACAGCAATGTCATTTTATGAGAGAAGTAAATTCAGATAACTTCTTTATGACTGTGTCCTAGGTAAAGACAGTGAAGGTATTGCCACCAGTCTGGAAGATTTGTTTGTTTGGCATATGGGGAGTAAAGGTGAAGAAATGCCATCTATTACATAGAACTATCTAATCCCAGGCTAAAAATGAGGTGCTTTTGATATACTTGAATGCTGCTGTTCCTGGAATACAGTGACTTATGTGTGAATCGATGGCAGAGCTATGTATAAAGTTTGGAGGAAATTTTTGAGAAGACTATCAAAAGCGATTTTGAGAATAGAAAGACTAGCTCCTGTGAGGAAAATATAAAGTGAGCAAATATGCATGGCATGACTAGACATGTACTGCTTTACTAGTAGTAAAAAAGGAAGGTTAAAAAGAAACTTAAGGCTTACCCACAATGTCCTTAATCAAGGAACACCACTGAACAATTGTTATGGCCTGATACATAAATAGAAGTCTTAGTGAATTTGTTATATCAGCAAAAAATGCAAAAAGAGGTCAGATATGCCTTGATAATGTTCTGTCAGTAATCTCTTTTCTCATATGGGTATAGTTACATGCATAAATTATCTCTTTGATGCATAATTATATCTGTACTGGAGAGCTATTGCTTTGCATGTATTGATGTTCTCAAATGTACTGTTGCAGCTGAATCCATGAAACTTTCCAGTGAAGAAGGTTTGCCTTGCTTATTTCAAAAGTGATTCTTCGCAAATATATTTGGTGTGTTTTCTGTTTTGGTTTTTTTTCTTTTTGCAAAGGAAATAAACTAAGAGACCTAATTTTCTCATTATACAATCAAGTACTAATTCTCTAGTGGCACTATTCTTGAATTTTAATAACTCTTCAACAAATGGTCTATAATTTTGATTTTCCAATGGGAAAGGAACAAAATGGACAAATAGCAAAACAGTAAATATTTTTGAGACTGAATTTATGAAAAACCCTATCTCCCTTCAGGCCTCACATCCTCAAGAATTTTTTTTACTCTTTTCCATCATGCTTTAATATTATTAAAGGCGTAATTATAATCCAATACTAAGAACTGCATTGTAGCAGAAAATAAGGGCTTCTAATGAAGTGGGACGTGAGAGAAATTAAGGACTTCCTGGATGAGCTGACCTGGAAGTGTGTTGTCAAAACGATCTTCAGAGACCTTTTCCTCAACCCCTGTTACTATCTGTTGTGCTCTTCAACTGTATTTCCAAATAGATGCATCAACTTTCTTGTTATCACATCATAGGACGGCATTTACTGCCATCCTTGGAAAATCTGCACTGAGCTCTTGCAGTGATTATTTGACCAGTGCTCAGAAATAGTAGAAATAAATACAGACCCACTTATATTCTATTCTGTGATTAACGTATTTTCTTGTCACAGAACACAAACTCTACCTTGGTCTAGGAAGGCATGGGCTGTTCTTAATAGCTTCTTTAGGATCTTATACTCTTTTGTTTCTAATAGCTTTAAAATATTTTCCAAATCACTAAAAAGGGAAATCTGATTTTTACAGCATCATTGTCCTTGCATAAAGCGTGTGTGTGTGTAAATGTGAAAGCGTATACATAATGCAAACTATGGCAATTCTTTGGTGTGAGAAGTAGTGTTGTGATCATCTTATTGTCCCAGCTGCTCATCTTTGGGACTTTGTACTTCAAGGTAACAAGTTCTTTTTGGCCATGGGGACTAACTGACTAGCTGTAATGGAGTAATGTGAGAAGGAAATTCAATAATTACTCTCCCGTTTAGGGGGAAAGTGTTTAAATCATAACAGTCTTTCAGATCTTGGGGCAGTCAACAAAATATTCTCATTTTTTTGTGTTTTATTTAGAGCATGAAGAAACAGCCTGAGCTTTAAATTAAGGGTATAGCCACATGAGGGGTATAAATAAATCATGCTGTTAGGTAGATAACTGCTGTACCTCTGAGGCCTGCCACAGACCACACCTTTCTGTTGTTATGAGTAACTCTAATTACACCCGTTACCTCATGTGGTAAGACCAGTAAAATACTTGAAATTCAGTCTCAGTTGGGCTCATAATCTTCTGTAAGCAAATACAACCAGACAGCAGTGATAGAAGAAATAGCAGACCAAATTAATCCCAGAAATGCGATGTTTGTGACAAAAGGTTTTTCCTACTAAGGGAAAAATCAAGTGTCTGACAAATAGTCAGCAACCAGTCTGTTCATACTGCCAGGCTTTGGGGTAGTCTATTGGTGGTGAGTAGTGTTTTATTCCAGTTTTGCTTTGGTCCTTTTTTCTTATATGAACACTTTTAAAGGTATTCTGAACCCATTCTGGAAAACTATCCAATGCTTTTCTGTAGTGAGTTAATCAGGTTAGACTTAACTCCATTTTATTTCTGAAACCATCTGTGATAGAGTATGTTTCACCAAAAAGTTAAATTGTGTATCTCATTTGCATGTTTTATGAATGTAAAATAATTTAAATTTTAATGTGTTCAAGTACTAATCTAGTATAGTGGAAGACTGATATCAAACCTCTGTTTCCTGGTATTCTTTTTATTTCTTCTGTTTTACTGTCAGTGTGTTCTATAAGCACAAAGGTATGTAGGAAGTTGTGTCCTTTTCCTGCTGTGTATTACATTACTTGAGGTGCTGTCCCTCACCGAGATCAGAAGAGTATGAATGAGGAACAAAGATTAATACTGGTCCCACTGTACCTCTAGCGTTCTCAGTCTAGCCCAAAAAGTTATATGCCAGCTCTGGAGGGGTGGTCTGTTCTCCTCACTGCCTCTGTGTCAGGATGGGGAAATCTTCACGACCTGACCTGCAAAGAATGCTTTGTGTTGCTTATAATTTTCTGGAAGGACCTTGGCCCACACAAAGGAAGCTTGGCTCCTCTGCCTCTACTGCTCCACTTAGAGTGAGATGAATTTATTTGAGGTTTTGGGTGGTTTGTTTTGTTGGTTTTTTTTTTTCCCTAGATCTATAATTTCTTTAACCAAGCTCTGATGATTTCTCATGAGTAGTTAACGGGAGAATGCATTTACTTTTATTTCTCTGACCTTTTGTTTATCTAATACAGTCAATATTAGCCAAGGATTTTAGACTTTAGGCTTCTTTTTTGTTACCGTTTTCTTAACTTTCAGCAATAGTATGATTAATGTTCCTGCACACAAATTATAGTGGTATAAGGTATGTATGAAATCACTTAAGCAGAGTCAAGACACTTAAAAATAAACATGAGGGAGGAGTGCTGGAAATTCAGGCAATGGAAAGTGTTTCTCTATTTGCCCTATTAAGTGATAATAGTACTTACAGTCACTTGAATGCATTCTTTTGTGACTGTGTTCAATATTTGTATGTCTTTCTGGATTTTCTTTGTAGATCCTGGCAAACAATCACTTTTGATAAACAGCCTGCATCTTTTATCAGAATAGTTGGAACTCGCAACACAGCTAATGAGGTAAGGAACTTTTAAGAAAACCTACATTCTTCATGAATACACAACAATACAGGTTTTCGTATCTTGCAGTGAAATTGATAAGGCCTTCTCAAATGTACACGCCTAATTTTTTTGCTCTGGCAATCTAGCAAAATTAGAATGAATGCTTTTCTTATGTGAGTGTTTAACAGTGTTATTGTCTGTTCCTGGTTTTGACCTTTCCACACTGCCATCAAACATTTCTACTGGGTTTGGTTTTAAACTAATCCTTATTTGATAAATGATGAAAATACCATTTTGGCACACTAGAAAGGTGTATGGTCTCTGATTACTTGGTTTTTATCACCTTTATATTATCTTTTTAATTAATAAAACATAAGAAAAATCCCATATTTTTAAGAAAATATTTGCATAAGATTCACTTATAATTAATTTTCATACCTGTTAAATCGGTTGAAAAATGGTGGCCAAACCAAGAGATGTTGTTAATTTTATACAGAAAAAAAATATTGTGCATTAACCAACCAAGTGCAGTATCATCCTCTCTTTATTTACTTGTGCTTCTGTCTTTTGTAATTGTTGTGCATTGTCTCAGATGAAGTCCAGATTTTACACTTGACTTCAATGAAACAATGTACAATATGTGAATTTAATAATATTTGTAAGTCTTTGTGAGATTAGGACTTTATATGACAAAACTGTAAGAGGCACCAAACGCTGCTGCTTCTGTGTATGCACATGCATGTCTACATCCCACATGTGTAGTTCACCACCAACCATTGTACTTTCACGCTTTACAAAGAACTTGGGATAGCACTATTACATTTGGATTAGTTAGAGTTTGTCAACTGCATAATGACAGTCTTGTTCCTCTCATACCAGTGTTTGTACGTTCTCAACTCTTTGTCAAAAAAGAATGAGGTGCACTGAGTGAACCTAGCAAACCAGCCTACAGGATATATCACTTTCAGCTTTTAATTCTTAAAGGTAGCTTTAAGCCCTGAAGAGTAATGGGCTTTTAACCATAATTCCAATTTCAAATTGGTTACTATTTTCAAGGATTTTAATATCCTGTGTAATTTATTTATATAGAGCACTGCATAACTCTAGTGAAGAACAGTATGTGTAAATTGAGGTTACGGCTATTCATGTAGTGGTGCAGTGGAATTATAAAAATATGCTGGTGTTCTTGGTCTTTTCCTCTTTTGTTTTTAAAATCTGTACCCAATGCTAATTTTGTTTAGTTTTTTTATTATTATTTTTTAATTTTTCCTAAATCCTGTAGAGTAGGAACATAATTGGTGTGCATATTATTACTAAGTTACTTTTATATATCTATAGATATATTAAACAAATGGTCTGTAATATTTTGGTATAAATTTTAATTTTCCAAACAAGAAAGCAAGATATTTTTCATATTTCTGATTTAAATAATAACAGTGTAACTGAACTCTTGGTTTGTTCTGGAGTCTGTAGTCTCAGTAGTCTCTTCAGTAAGAATACCAGCAGTTTCCATAATTATTTGCCCTCAGCTGGTTGTATATTATGTCAAACCATTCTCATTATAAATAAAATATACTAATGGCAGCATATTTTTATCAAGGAGTATTATTGTAATAGGTACAAAAATACTCCTTGCTTGTTATACCAGCACATACCTTTGAACTTTGAAGCACAATCTGTACTTCCCCAAGTGAAGAGTTGACTTTTGGACTTGCAAAAAAATCCCATGAAATTTCTCTACTTTGTGAATTATTTAATCTTTTAAACTTGTTTTTACCTTTGCCATGTTTTCCAGGTTTTTCAGTGATTTTTTGACCTGATATCTGAATTTTTTTTGGTATATTAGAACAAGATAGAATTGTAACTTTGGGTTTTTTTCTTGAGCTCCCAGACATGCTACTTTTGTAGAGAAAAGGATTACTTTTCCTTAGTTCTTGTCTTCATTTATTTGTCAGACAGGTCACCTGATACTTTATGTAAGTTTACCTTGTTATTCCTCTTCAGTATTACTGACCTGGAAAGGACACCTAGTTGCTGATGTGAGAGCTTTATCTTACAAATTACTGCACCAGTGTGTATGTACTTGGCCTTCCTTCTGTGTATGTCTGACCTTTCTTAAAATATCCATGAGAAGTATAACTGATGTGGGTCAGAGGATGATGCTGAACTGTCATCTTTTTCTTTTGAGAGAAACACATGCAGGATTCTTTGTTTTAGTAATACTGTTCTGAAATACTTAATTCCGATACCAGATGAAGCGGTTGAGCTCAGTTGTGCTTCTCAGTGTTATGCTTCTCTCACACACTCTATTCTTTACATTTTGATGTGGCAGAGTAACTGAGAAGAATGTTCTAAATTCACAGGCTTGGTAATGTACCAGATGTTTTCAGCATTAAGAATTTAGTATGATAGAATCAGTAAAAATTAAAGTTAGAATATAAGGATCAGGTACTTCTGACTTTCTAGACTAGTATTAGATAAATTTTAGTGCTACCCACACTGTATTTAAAAAATCTACATCACTATGTAAAGTGAGGTTTTAAATGATAAGTACTATTGTTGTGGGATACAGTGGAAGTATGGAATCTTCTGATTTGAAGACTTCTATCCCATTCATTAGACTGTGCTGCCTTTCAAGGAAAGCAGCATCTTACAGAGGTGAGAGAATGTTCTTTTCTGCAAGGCCTTATCCTTGTAAGTGCAGCTGGAAAAATGAGAATAGCTGTTACTTTAAAAACACGGGGGCGAGATGAGTACAAAAGGGGCTTCTCGAGAAGTGTAACTAAATACAAAAATCAGCTTCTGAAGAACTGTAACAGATGGAGAGAATTCATGCCACTGTAGGAATTAGTTCAGCTTCAGAAAAAAACTCACCAGAAGAATAGCAGAGAAAAACCATTTTGTGCACGTGTCTGTATGTGGCTATGGGTGTGGATTTGTAATCTGCTCATAAGTGTATATATTATAAAGGCATAGCAATGCATGTGAGCATGTACATAAATATAGAAATGTAAGCATGCATCACCATGTATCTGTATAAAGAACTGCAAGAATTCTTACACTGAGAGGCACAAGAAAATATAATGGGGATTAAAAAAAACCCGAGTGACTGTGAATATTTTTTTATTCGTTTCATGTGTGCTGTCAGAATTGGAATTAACTAGCTACATCCTCAAAAAAGACCTGGGGCTATTGCAGACATGTCAACACAGATGTCTGCTCAGTGTGCACTTGAGCAGGGATGGTCAAAAAGAATAATAGGATTTTAGGTTGTATTGAAGAATGGATAGAAAATATAATATTATGTAGCCTTGTATGAATATGTAGTATGTCCATATCTTGTTTATGGTATTTGATTTTGCCCACATTAACTTGAAAGGGTCTGGGAAAGGGCAGTTAAGATTATAAGAGATTATCTTTGTTTGTGAGAAGAGGTTTAAAAACATGATCTGCTCTCAATAAGAATAATAGATGTCAGAAAAGCATACAAAGTTAAGACAAGACAGTAATTTTAAAATTCAGGTTTTAATATTCATGAAGCTTTAGCTTTAAAACAATAAGGCATGAGAAAATAGCAGATTTTAGAACAGTATAAGAAAAGATTTATGTTTAGTCTGTAGCAAAGCTGTGCAATTCATAGCAATTAGAAATCATATGGAAAGAAGTTTTGTAACAATTTTAAAGAGTTCCTCCCCCTTCTCCTCCCAGGCACTTCAAGAACAAGAAGTAAGTAGAAGTAAGAGTAAGTAAAGTAGAAAATAAAATGGAAAAAATGCTTAAACAGATGGTCCTCTAAGATACAGTCACCTGTACACTGGTCCCAGATATTGTTTGAAACATCAGTAAATGATCACTGTTTGAAATGGAATATTTCATCTGATGAAGCAGCAAGCCTCCGTGGACACTCTGAATGCCTTTCTACATACTCCAGGACATGTCTGTAGAGCTACCATTGCTGTTACAGCAGAGGGCAATCTTGAAATAAAATCATGTTGGTAATGATTTAAATTTCATTTCTAGTGTACGTGAACATTCAGCCTTTTGAGGAAGTAATTATATTGTAAGATATGTTTAAGACAATATAATTGTTGTTGTCATCTGATAGCATGTAGTAGATATTTCTGCTACTTGGCAAGGAAAAGAATAATTTACAAATATCTCTATCCACTTTTGAAGCATTTTTCTGATTTTTTAGTGCCATATGTAAAGGTTGGTATAATTTGAAGGCCTTCTCTTGCTCCACTGGTGTCCTTTTCTAAAGTTTATTGCCCATGGATAAATGTTTTTGACCTCATGGCGAAACATTCTTATTTGACTAATTACTTTGTCATTGATCTGGCTTGCATACTTCCATATAGACTTCATCTTACTTTGATCGTGCTTTTGCCAGCATTAAATTGTTTTGCTTTATCTTCATTTTTTTGTTCTCTCCAGGTGTTTCACTGTGTGCATTTTGAGTGCCCAGCACAAAACAGTACCCACAAGGACGAGAGTAGTAAGGAAGTAGCATCAACAGAGGTGGGGACTGCTGGACAGTAGCTTGTTTCTCGCCCTGTTTGAGCTGCAAGCACTAGTCCCCTGCATTCCCCTCCTGGATCCACCTCGCGTTCACATGCTCACCAACAATAAAGAAGGTTGAAAGGGAGCTTTTGCAGCCTTGCTGACATTCTATGAAATTATTCAGAACCTTCTTGTGCTGGCACCTTTTCTTTCTTTGTGAACGAAGGGGACCATTACTGAAAGCTGGAAACGTTGGAATGGAAAAAGCTTTTCCTGAGCACATGAAGAGACTGCTTCACTCTCCTCGATTTGTTCAAATCAGGCTGGTCTCCAAGGGGTGAGAAAATAGGTCTTCAATCCTCATCAGTTACCCCATTAACACCCTACCTCTCTAATCTAACCAAGGCATGGAAAACAGAAGGAAATAAAAGGCAAGAGCTACAGTGGAAATCTAAAATTACTGGAGCAGAATGGAAGGCATATGAAATAAGTATTTGTTCCCTAGAAGCTTTCATTAGCAAAAAAAAATATTTATGGAACACATCAGTCCAGCATATATGTTATTTTTAAAAGTGATTCTTCACTCATATTCCTTTGTAACTAGTAATCTGTTTTCTAAATCATTTCGTCTGGATCTCTCTCCCCTCCCATGATGTGGGGCAGCACCAGTCCTAGTTCCATTTCCATCTGAGGAACCATTTCCGACGGCTGAGGTGGATAGGGAAGGGGTTACTCCAGCTCCAGGGGTTTCTTCGGGTCCTGGACGCATGGAGGGGTTAGGTGCTCACCCCTCCCCCCACCACGAAGTCCCATGGCAGCCAGAGAGACAGCACACAGCATGTGGAGAGGAGGCAAGAGAGACAGTTTATTGTGGGGTAGGGGTTTATAAAGCTCTTGGGAGGGTCAAAGGGGACCATTTAAGGTAAGGGGTCTTACAAAACACCAATCAGGTAGGGAGTTAACAGCCAAATAAGGAAGGGGTTAACAAGGTCCAATGAGAAGACTTCTTGATATCTTCTCAGGACATTCCTGAGACAGAGATAAGAACTGGCCGTGGGGGATTTTGGGAAGGAGAACATGAGTTAGCAAAGAGACTACAAAAAAACCATTTTAAAACATGCTTAAACCACAGTTTTCCCATATAATGCAGGTTTACTGCTACATCTCACCCGTTTTTATTTATTTGAATTTACCCTACTCTTAATATGTCCCTATAAAACAGAATTTAATAATTGATGTAATTATAAACAAGTTTTTCACTTACACGAGCCTTCAATTTACTGCTGAAACAAAACAAACTACTTATTGCTGCTAATTTAGTTTCATTAGAGTCCAGTTGGTTCCTTTCTTCGTTTCTTCTGTTTCTCAGAGAGAGTCCTGGTGCGCGGAGGGTGGAGCGGCGGGAGCCGCTCCGGCCACATGGCTGGATGGGGGGGGTGCCCCCCCCTCGGGCTGCGGGCGGCGGGAGCAAGGTGGAGAAGGGATCGGCACACTCGCCCGGGGCCACCAGCGGTGCCAGGGCCTCAGCAGGGTGGCGGCGGCACTGCGGGTGTCTAGTCCGGTCTGTTGTGGGGTGGGGGCCCCCCAGCAGGAACGCCATCAGCTTCCCCTCGGGATTTCAGAGTCGGTGGGTGTGTGGTTCTATCTGTAAGAGGCACCACTGCACAGACCCTTTTACAAACTGAAGGGACTGATGACAGCTGTAGATGCAGAGACAAGGTCTGATCTTTGTCAGCACTGGAGTGCCAGTCATTCTGCTGGATAAACCAAACTGATGGGTTTCCTTTGCAGAACACACTGTAATTCCATCAGTTTACTCTTGACATCCAAAGGACTTTCAGAGCTAAAAGCCATTGCTACCAGAACATAGGAACCTGCTGCTTTTGGGTGGATTACTCCCAAACCAGGCCATGCTGGTGCAGTGTTCCAGTCCCAGCAGTGTCTTTGCCTCCTCGCTCTGTGCCAGGAGGGTCTCACTGGCATACTTCTGGAGGAGCTCCATCTTCTTCCTCCGCACAAGAGCTTCCTCAATCTCCTGCTGAGTTGGCACTGGAACATGTGCAATGAATTTCTGTTGGCCGCCTTCTCCTTCTTTTTCTTTCTCACCTTCCTCATCAGACTCATCATCGTTGACAGCATAGATATTTTCTTCCTCCTCCTCCTCACCTCTTGCAAGCCGTGCTTCCCTCTCCATTTTCCATTTTTCCACTGCTTCTGCTATAACTTTCTTTTCATGCTCCTGTTCCAGAGGCTCCAGAATGCCATCGTCCTCGTCCCTGTAGCCGTAGTACTCAGCATCGATGTCCTTCATGAGCTCGGCCCGAGTTTTCCGTGGGGGTGGGAGAGGCTCCTTTTCAAAAAGCTCTCTAACTCCTGGTAAATCCTTTGCAGCTCCAAAATATTTGTAGCCCCTGTTCCCTGGAACTTCTTTCCCTTCATGATTCAACATTTTCGGTCCAATCCGAGCATAATCAGGGCCTCCCAGCTCCTTTATTCTGTATTCCCAGTGTCCTTTCTCCCTCAGAAGTTTGTTTATTTCATCATTCAGGTCCCGAATTCTGAATTCACCCAATCCAGCATTCTGAATCTGTGCCACTTTCTTGGAAATCTCCCCAATGATCTGTCGCCTCCATTTCTCAGCTTTGGGCAGTTCATTACACTCGGATGCAAGGAAAGGTCTCCGTTCCTTCACTTTTCCTTCCTCAAGCTGGGCTTGCCGAAACCTTGCCAAGGCCGTCATGGCCTTCTCCGCATTCCGCGCCATGGTCCCTCAGTCCCCGGTCCCTCCGTGCGGTGGAAGCGCCGCCGTGCCCCGAATGACAGCAAACAGCACGTGGAGAGGAGGCGAGAGAGACAGTTTATTGTGGGGTAGGGGTTTATAAAGCTCTTGGGAGGGTCAAGGGGGACCATTTAAGGTAAGGGGTCTTACAAAAAAAACAATCAGGAGTTAACAGCCAAATAAGGAAGGGGTTAACAGGTAGGGAGTTAACAGCCAAATAAGGAAGGGGTTAACAAGGTCCAATGAGAAGACTTCTTGATATCTTCTCAGGACGTTCCTAAAACGGAGATAAGAACTGGCTGTGGGGGATTTTGGGAAGGAGAACATGAGTTAGCAAAGAGACTACAAAAAAGCCATTTTAAAACATGCTTCACAGTTTTCCCATATAATGCAGGTTTACTGCTACAATTTTGACCCTGTATTCCAGTTTGTCTCTTATTTTTGGCTGTAGTCAATGCTGTACAGTAGATTAAGGAAGTATCAGACATGTTTACCTGCTGAGATGCAAATTCCCTGATTCATCAGTGGGATGACAAGAAAAGCATTCATGATATCAACAAACTAATTAATGTATCTATATTAATCTTGACCTTAGTTGACTTTTCAAAGTACAAAATTGTCATTTCTTACACTCAAAAAGGAAATTCCTAAATCAAACATCCATCTTGAAGAGAAGCATATTTTTTCACTCCTGAAGATGATTAAATTTTGCCTGCGTTTCTAAGACAACTTGCAACAGATCATCAAAAATGTTTGGTTTCGAAAAGTGGAACTGCATCTGGTCACTGACAAGCAGTTGTTCAAATACAGAAAGAAGAATTTGCAGATAACTTACGTTTTTCCAAGAAAAATTGTTTTACAGTCTGGAGCTAAAAATTCACAGGCTGTGTGTGCATTAACATTTCTCATGATCCTCACAGAAGATGCTGCTTTTGCACCGTATTGTAAAAAATCTGGTTCTTACTTTACAGTCACAGAATTCATTATCCATCCATGTCTGTCTGGATTGCATTGCTTGCTACTTTGCTTATTCTGTTTTCACACTGATGATGATGCAGTCTCTTACTCTCTAGACCTGCATGACTTTTAGGAAGAACTCCATGTTGGTCTTTCACTATGGGATAAAGAGATTTTGTTTTAAGACAAATGCTGATGTAATTGGCAAAATTGATTAGGAGGATTGTTACTCCTCACAAAGTATATTATATTGGAAATGTCAGCTAACCAGTTTTATGAACTTGGAATTTCCTATGGTGATAAATAGCCTTGTCAGAAGAAAACAAAGCTGGTGCAGGATAAATACGGTTTTGCTTTGCATAATCATAGTGATAAAATGAGTTATATCAACATAGCAAATTGTATGTTAATTTATCACACTACTTAATTTGAAATAATTTCCCTGTTGGATACTAGTTGTGCTAAACCCAAGAAGAAATATAATCGGTGGTAGCAGTGAATCAGAGGATATTTCTAATAAGAAAAGCATCCTTTCTTCTTTCAAATAAAATTGATTAGGCTTTATCAATAATATTACAGTATTTTCATTGCCAAATTACATTTTAGTTCTGACATTTGCATACAGTCCTCTTCCTTCCCACTGCTGTCTTCTGACTTGTGAATGCTTGTTGGTGAAGATGGATGCCCATTGTGCATAAAGCTTCTAATGTACGTGCCACAGCTGCCTCAGACAGTCTGGAGTTCTGGAAAAGGATTCTGCTTGTGACAGTCACCTCCTCGTCTGTGGGGCTGATTACCTTATGGCTTAGCAGCCTTTGGAGCATGAAAGAATTGAGACAAGCTACTGGGGACACCACCCTCTTGTTTAAGTATAGGTCCAAAAAGTTGAATTTTTTTTCCCTTTGAAAAGTAAAAGCAGAAAACTTTTCTTGTTGTCATCCATGCTGGAACTACTGAGATGCATGGAGCGTGTCTTGCCTTTGGTAGATATAAGTCCTTTCATGTGAGTGATGGTATTTCTTTGCAGTTTGATCAAGCAAGTCTGCTTTTGTCAAACTGTGGAGCAAAGGGCATAACTTTCTAGCTGTTAGTATTTAGTAGTCGTTGTTGTAGAGAATGTTAAAAAAAAAAATTAGGAAAAGGTTGTGCCAGCTGTTCTGAGTCTAGGCTCCCAGAGAAAGAATGGGATTTTTTCATTCGCAATCTTTGATGTGCACAATTAATTTTTATGATACAAAATTAATTTTTATGATCTTGTAGACTATAACCTACTGCACATCTTTTTGATCTTGTCCTGTGACTCATTGTGGAACTGAAGTGCCTATTTCCCATGATATTCACTCTCTGCCAAGAATATGAATGAACATATCTGAGATTCCCAGAGCAAAAACTCCAAGGTCCTGTAGACTCTTTTTTTCCTCACCCCCATAAATAAATAAAAAAACCAACAACTTTGCATTGTCTCTTCCTACAGGTATTAGTATTAGACTTACTCGCAATGGCCCTTCTCAGAGTCTTTATTTTATACAGAGTTGCTCTTAGAACGTGTCACCAAGGTGAGCCCAGTGAGCTCCCAGGGTTTTAAGGCAAGCCCTGCCACAACTTCACATTTTCAACCTTTACCCTTTTTATTTAAAGGAATAATGTTTTCAGAGAGCTGAACTCTGCTTGGTCTTCTAATATTACCCACCAACAACGACCCCTAATACCTGTATTGCCTAGAAGAGGTCTCTTCTCTTAAACATTGTGTCAGCAGTGTATTACTAGTGACAGAGGAAGACACCATACAGAATTGAGTTGTGGTTTGGTGTGAATGTTTGCATTCTGTCTAATTGTTGTCTGTATTTATTGACTCCCAATTTCAAATGTACTTCCTGTATATTC